TAGATTTTGCCTACTTCCCCGAAGGCTATATGTGTGTGTGTTGACTTGCATTGCCTATATATTTGTTTTAGTGTTACGGAAAATCGAAATAAACTTTACTTTACTAACCGTGCGTTGCGTCTATATTATGTTTGTTACCGAGCGGCGTGGATTCCTAATTTGAGTGCTCGTATTGGGTTCGATAATGATTGAGACTTCCTATCGGATTTCTGCGCCCTCGGAATATAACTAATGATTTAAATCTGCCCCAATAGCCTTTTAAAACTACTAAAATTAGGCTTGTTTGCGTTACACTACTCGAGCCGAATGATCGAAAATGGCGTCCATATGACGCCATAATGGGACAAGTTAGTTGCACGGGGTTGACTCAATCCAACACCAGATAGTTGGGGTATTCCCCGTTTCACGGACAACAGGCAGGAAGGTGCTGTGTTGTGGGAAATACAATAGGTGCATTTTGTTTCAGCATTCTGGATACCGGTATAAGTTTATTTTTATTCATCAATGAACTAGGTAAATGTGTGAATGCAATATTGAAGAGACTTTATGTCATTCATTTTTGGGGTCTTACTACTTACTGAATACCGTACAGCGCGAAAGAGCGCAAAACAGAGGGAAACAGCGCATAACTGTGGAAAATAGCGCGAAACAGAAGGAAACCAGCGCCAAACAGGAGACGCAGTTTTTACCGCCTCATGAAGGCTCCTGCCACGAAAGAACAACGGCACCTCTCGTCATGGTTTTATGGCGCTATTTCTGGTATTTTCACAAGGTTATGTAGTGGATTCCCAGACTGGATTCCATGGCAGATGCACGCCCGAGGGCGCTAGCGCTCCACAAAAATGCACGCGAGCGAATTCAATTTTGCACGCCGAAAATTTGCAATTGTTCACCAATGTAAATCGGTTTAAATAGTTTTTAAATCAATAATCTAGTAATATAAAGATGCCAAAAAATTATAACTTTACAATTGTCGACTAATACTTGCTTGCAAGATTTGGCCTGATCGAAAAATGCGAAGCAAAAATCACCATATCGTGTTGAATGATAGGAATCCCGTGAGAAAAATCGCCTCCTCACCGACGCTGGCCAGTTATGGCTCTGATTCAGCGTATTCTTAATACAATAATTTTACACGGATGTACTGAACAGTACCGGTATCTAAAGTCGCACAAACACTCTCAAAATTAGTGACAAAATATAGAAATGATGTTTTGGGGGTCAAAGGTCACACGTCCATTTTTGCTATGATCCAACTTATTTTTACGCGGATGTATTGAGAGGTATCTTAGTTCGAAATCAGTTTAGCGGGCGCAGTTGTTTTGCACGCCGTGAGCTATAATTGCACGCCAGAAATTCTTATTTGCACGCGGGAATTTCTGATTGCACGCCCGATTTCTCGTTCGAAAAGGCCATGAAATCCAGACTGGGTGGAACCTAGGTCATCATGCGAAATTTTATGTACTTTTTTTTTATCTAACCCTAAAGCTAAATCAATTAAAACTGTATCCATATGATAAATGTTCTAAATTGCGTTACCCAAAATGTGTCACTAGCAGGGGCAGACCTGCCATTACAGCCTACATGCCTTGGTTTGTGTTTTTAATTTGCTGCCGTGGTACCCCAACTCAAAACAAAATAAAAAATATGTGCCCCAACTCATTGCAAATTTTTTTTCTACTTCGCGCTGTTTTCCTCTGTTGCCCGATGTATTCAATAAGTAGTAGGGAGTAGTAGTGGGACAATCCGGCATTACAGAGATTCGACAAATCCGAGTAATAGGTCAAGGACTCGAATCGAATCTGCCAAGTCCGTGATGTCATAATAAAAAAGCAGAAAAACGTGTTTCTGACCATGCTACAGCATCGTGCCCTCACAGACATACGTCGTAGCTCATATTTTTTGCCTAATGGTTCCGCAGATAGCTGTTGAATCATTTCAAATATATATTTTTTCTCTTTTTTGGCGGCCATAATACAAACGTAAACGTGGGTCAATGTGCACCTTGGCTGTGAACTGGATTTCCAGCCCACCTTGCGTCAATTCTGGGCGTCTATTCAGAAATTCTTACATGTCAATATGAAAAATAAAAAGATCTCGACTACAATGCTTTCCCATAATTCCAGATATTTCTAACGGTTAATTTACTATGTCATGTGCGCATATGGTGGAGATTTAAAAGAGGTATTGATGAGATTCCACATTGGGTTGATCCTGAGCATGTTTCATATTTACGCGAATCGAAAACTCAAAAATATTGCAATAACACATATTTTATTGTGTACCACATGTATACCAAAAAGAATAGATAGTTTGAAGGCGACTGGCGCAACATCATTGTTATAAGCGATCAATAGTTTTTAACTTGCGTTATATTATCTGGATATCTGTCGTCGTTTTCTTAGGAGTGTTTATGATGCACACGAGGGATATTGTTACAGATCTAACCTTGAATTTTGACTAGTTAAGGTATGTAGTGGGATTTATAGAGGCCAAAGTACAAACATAGGCGTAAATTAGTAAAAACAGAATTGATTATGGACTCGGTAAAAATGACGTGGACTCGAAATCGAATCCGAGTCCAAAAAATGCCTGGATTCGAGTCCGGATCCGAATCCCGGCCTATCCCTAGTAAGTAGTAAGACCGTTTATTTTTGGAATGTCAATGGGCTGTTGATTTCTGACATTGGTGTTGCATAGAATATAATCAAAATACTATTTTAGCAAGTGAATCACAATAGTATGCGAAATATCGAAATTTAGTGAAATATGGATGTAATAGTTTGAAAGTAGAAGTACTATGCGTTCAATTTTCAAATGTTAACTGATAGAAATTTAAATTTATTGAAAACAAGTGAAAGAAATGATTTAATATTGTATGAACACATGGATGATCTCATACATAGATCGATCATGATGTGACATTTTTCATGCAACACCAGCTTTGATGAATATATGGGAGGATTCAAATGTCCAAATTTATGCATCATTTTGATTTAATTCATAGATAGATAGTGAATAGAAAAAAATGCCAAAACACCCACTTTGTTGTCTGATTTTCTATCTAAATTAACTAAATCAATCAATTATTGGTAAATATATATAAAATGTGTGCACGAATTCGATGACAACTGTATGATAATATGGATTAACTTATTTACAATTGACATATATTGTATTATATATGATACAAAACTCCGGTGATGGTATGGTTTTATATTTTAATTGTTACATATATTATTAGAACTTGTTGGGAATGTTAACTTGTGCTATCGATTAGGTTTCTACAAGACCAACTACTTTTCCGTTTTCTATGCTTTTGCGTTGATGGATCCGTATGCATATAATGCGAGGATGCTGTAGGGAGAGTGAAGATAACTATCCTGAGTAATTCAAAAATGCTGCACACGTTTGAAATTGTGAAAGTGTTCCGTTTGGCATTGGAATTTATTTGGAGAGAAAAATAAAAGAAGGTGTTGTGTTTGTGGGTAATATTTGAGATATTGAGTCAAGTGATAGATAGTGAATAGAAAATGTCAAAACACCCACTTTGGATGTTTTCTGTCTCATTTTCTAATTTCTATGCAAAAATTAACTAATTCGATTAATTAGGGGTAAATATATATTAAATGTGTGCACAAATTTGATGACATCTCTTATGATAAGATGGATTAACTCATTTGTTACATATATTATTTGAACATGTGGGAAATGTGTTTGAAATTATAAAACTGTTTAATTTGGGGCAACTTATACTAAATCGACAGTAAAATCTTTATACGAAATAGAGGTAAGATTGGGGCAAAAATTCCGGCCCGACCCAGGCCCGTGGGTATTAAACCCGACCCAAGCCGACTAATTAACTGGATTTGCAGGCCCGAAGCAAACCCGAAAGTTCCCATTTTATTCAGTTCATCGAATTGTCATTGTAAGAGTTGATCAGGCAACTTCTGTTTTTTTGCAAACCACAATCTCTCGTGGCCAAAACACGGCCGAAACGCCTCATTTAAAAAGAGTCATCGATAGAGAAGCCCGACCCAAACTTAAGGATTGACATTTCAGGCCTGACCAGGCCCGAATTTTGGGTTGACTCAGGCTTCAGATCTTAGCTTTAATATGAAAATTCAGTTTGACATTGGAATTTATTTGACGAGAAAAAAAAAGTCACAGTCAAGTTGATTTTTTCCAACCAGTAATATATTCAACAGACACAAATGCTAAAAACATGCGAAAGAGTAAAGAATATAATTTTACTGGCAGACTGGGAAGTGAAGTCGCTGGGAGGTTTAATGGTGGGCCTGTTATCCAACTAAACCTAATTGAAATTATAATCATCTATCATCTGTAGTGGACTGGAGAAAAAAGATGATAACGAACAGGTTCAGACAGACTAATGACAAAATGAATTCTATTAAACATTAGTTGTTTAACATGCCCATATAGAGTATGATACCAGTACGGAAATATGAAATAACAGAATTGGAATGAAACATATACTATCATGAGCTAGCATTTGGATAGGCGCATTATACTGCAATATATATGAATAAATAGAAAATAAAACTATGTTGGAGTGTCAGTTCAGGTTTTTAGGCTTCGAAAACATCTCGAGAACAAACCAAATTAAACTATTATTATTACATGATACCGGTACTTGCATTTTACACTCCACAAGAGAATTGTATTTTCAGACATATGGACTTGATAGGTGTATTTGATGTTCTTGGTACAGCAACGTTTATCTGTTATGTTGCCAATTTAACAGTTGGTTAAACAAATTATAAGTTTTTCTGTTTTGCTCAGTTCAAGCAATTCTGGTATATTTAAGTTGTACTTAGTGATGAAAACTTTTTTTTGTAATATTGAGGTTTATTTTAGATTGACTGTAATGTCTAATTAATTACCGTATCTTTAAATTAATTATTTTTTTCTATTGTTTATGGTCTTTTCAATAATAGTATTAGTATCATAAAATTAGTATCATTTTTTATAAAATCAAACCAAGGCATCTCAAAAATGGAAGAAAAAATCAATACGAATTCTAAAGAACATGCTTTTGAAATTTTACAACAATTAAACGAATATCGTAAAACTGGACGTCATTGTGATTTCATGATCAAAGCTGGATCTGAGGAACTTCCAGTTCATAAGAATATTGTGTCGGCCAGTTCCGATTATTTTAAAGCAATGTTATCTCATGAAAATGTTGAAACAAAATCTGGTGTCGTTGAAATAAAGGAATTTGATGAAGTTTGTGTTAAAAAATGTGTTGATTTCATTTACACTGGGGATGCTTATGTTGCCAAAGAAAAACGTGAAACACTCATGGGTGTCGCTCACATGATGCAGCTGCAAAGACTTTGTGATAGTATCGCAATTTTTCTGGAAGATGATCTTGATCCTAGATCGTTTTTCCAAACTAAAAGAATTGCGAATAGGTACAACTGTAAACAACTTGAGGAAAAATGCAATCAGTTTGCATTGCAACATTTTAAAAAAATTGCCCAGTCTGATGAGTTTATGGATCTAGATGAAAAATTCATTTCATTTCTGATGGAATCAAAGGAAACAAAAGCAAAGGAAGAAGGAAAATGTAAGATGTTGTTAGCATGGACCAAACATGATATTGATGAAAGAAAAGAAGGTTTTCTTAGTTTGGTGATGAAATTTCAGTTGACAAAAATGACTTTGTCATATAGAAGATTTCTTGTTGAAAATGAACCATTGATACTTGAATCTGGAAAATCGATTCAGTCATTGACTTTGTCAGTTTTTGACAGCCATGGGGATATCAGTTCAAAAGATTTTAATTTAACAGAGAATAAACAGCTTGTTGTTTTTGACAAAACTTCTAAAAGTATGCATTCTCATGATGTTGATGATAAAACATGGACACCAATGCAAACCATAGGTCAATCAATTATAAAGAATTCAATAAATTCTACTGTAGTGATAGAATCTCACATTTATGTGATTTGTAGAGATGGATCGTTTTATAGACTTGAATATGCTGAATCAAATGCAAAGTGGGAACAAATGACAAATACAAATCTTCAGAATGCATGTGTAGTTGCACTTGATGGTTTTGTTTATGGTATCGAGTATGGAAAGAGCTCAAACATTATGGAAAGATATGATCCATCAAATAATAGATGGACCAGATTAACAAACAAATCATTGATCTTAGCTCTCGAATCTTTGGTGTCTGCTGATGGAAAGCTGTTTTGTATTGCAGGATATAATAAGCAAGGTCAAGCAACAAATCAAGTTGAGATTTATGATCCTGTCACATCAACTTGGTCAACGGATAATAGATCATTGAATGAAGCAAGATATTATGCTTCTGCAACTGCTACAGAGGAAGGAATATATATTATGGGAGGTTATGATCCTAATAGAGGTTCAAATCTCACTACTGTTGAATTTCGTTCATCTGTAACTAAAACCTGGATGATATTGAAATCAATGAAAAATGCAAGACGAGACTTCAGTAGTTGTGTGATTGATAAGAAAGTTTATGTCATTGGTGGAAATAGAAATCCTGCAAATATAGAGGAATATGATCCTGAAACAGAAGAATGGAGAATCATTGAAACAATACAAGGAAAAGATAATTTTCCACGAGCAACTGTTGCACTATCTATATAACATTGATTGTTCTTATACTTGAACAAATATGGTTCTCATATTCTTGATGAAAATACTTATCATTCTTTCTAATTTGATCTCAAATTAATTTTTTCTGCAGAATGATGTACCGGTAAATTATTTAATTAGTTATCTGTGTGTGGTAATATATCGAATGAATAATTTCTTTGACAACATTGAATATTGTTTTTCAATCCATTTATCTTAAGAACGAATGTACAGTATGTTTAAAGATACAGCTTCAATAATTTGTTTTTCATAATATAGCCAATATCAATACTGATAATTTGATTGCTTGGTTAGTTAATCATTACCTATTTTACTTGGAAGTGATAGTGAAAATTTCTTTCATATTGTTGGTGTTGATTTTTTATTGTTTTTTTTTTGTTATATCATTGCATTTATCATGTTCAACAATTTAATCTCTAATTCTTGAAAATTTATCATTTTTCAATATTTTATTCAATTTTGTGATATATCAGATTACAGGGGATTACCCCATATTATTTTTTATGGTTGGTATGTTATGGATTGTAATCAAATCTTTCTCATTAACTCGCATTATTTGTTTATGATGGGGCCTATCTGATTTTAGTTTCATACATGAATTCAAGTTTTTCATCTTTATGATCCAGCGGGGGTTATTTATATTAAAAGCTCATTCCTTCGAAATCACTGTATTTTTCAATTATTATCATTCCACTGCTTTTTTGATATAACTAGTTCGAAGATATGCATGCCTTAATCATTATTCATGCTTTTTATTCTTTGAATAACTGACCAATAAAATTGTATTTTTGTAAATGAAATATTCAGGTTAGTGGCTTTTATTACATGGCCCCTAGTGCACAAATTGAGTTCTGTCCATCCAATATCAAATTTTTGCTAATCTGTTATTACAAATAAAAGAAAATACAAAACTTTTAGGTTTGGAGGAGTAGTGTTTATTCAGACATGTCTCAGTAATGACCTTACTGCTGATCCCTGTTGTCATATGCAATATTAGTATTTCGTATCTTTTTGAGGTGAGGCTCATTTCATACCATCATCTGTATAACGTCATAACAGACTTGTTGTGGCCTTCTAGGTTGAGTACAATTATTCAACTTCTGATATTTCTATTCTGAAAATGATGATGATTTCGAGAAATTTTTATTTTCGTGATTTTCTTTGCAACTAATGAGCCATGAAATATTATTATTATTTATTGATTTCAATTCCTGATTAACAGACAATAAGTTCTGTAATAAAAGAATGGTTGAATATGGTTTTATTGAATATTCTTGAAAATTTTATTATTGTAGTATATTCATATTGACTAATTCACTGAACTTGATGAAATATGCTGTGTCAGTGAAATTGTCATTGTTATTGCTTTATGTATATAAGGTACTAGAAGGAAATATAAATTTTCATTTTGATGCTTGTAGTTAATCTTCTGACAAATTCTTACTGGTATTATTTATGCAATTTTTCACAGCTTTAATTTGCAATATTGATATCATAATTAGATCAGCTGAGAAAGAAATTAAATATTTTCTGATGGTCGCGAAGTTCCTGCTTGTCTTCATAACATGCTTGATTTATCACTCGGCAATTTCCCAAAAGATTGTTGAAGATGATTTGATGCCTATTTTTGATAAAGATCTACACAGACAACACATGTCATTATTGTTTGGCAGAAAGTGGAATTGATATCAGACTGTGGAGTTGGCAGTTTAGTAAACTCATTTTGATATTGGCTAAAAACCACTATTTTAAATGTCCTCGAGTTGGATCCAAAATAGATCAATGGCTTGAAGTTTTATAAAAAGTTTTTCATACCTAGAACACCAGCAGATTCTGGAATCGTGAGAAAGTTTAAAAAGTGGAGTAGTTTTTTATTTTGATGTCGTCGCACACAAAAACTGAATACTAAAAAGCCAACAGAATTTTTTAAAATAAATGAAAGTCATAGACTTTTAGCAAAAAATACAATCTTAACCCAATGGAAATTTTAAAACAATTCCTCCAGTAGGTAATGAGGAAAGATATTTTTTCACAACAACAACAACATAATAACAAAACGATCCATATGTACACTTCATATCCAATTAGAATCTGGAAGATCGGGAAATCATATTTTAAGTAATATTTTTGGTGATCTGTTATTGTCGAGCAATCGTGATCACTATGGATGGTATCCAAGAGTCACTCAATCCAACACCAGATAGTTAGGGTATTCCCCGTTTCACGGACAACAGGCAGGAAGGTGTTGTGTTGTGGGAAATACAACACGGTGCATTTTGTTTCGACATTCTGGACGTACCGGTATAAGTTTATTTTTATTCACCAATGAACCAGGTATATGTGTGAATGCAATATTGAAGAGACTTCATGATGTCATTAATTTTTGGGGTCAGCGCGAAACACCGCAAAACAGAGGGAAACAGCGCATAACAGAGGAAAATAGTAGAAGTATAAGTTTATTTCGACTCCATAATCAGCAATAGACGATAAAAAAAATAGATAAAAGTAAAAGTAACTGATTATAGAATCTGGGAAGCGAACAAAACCTAGAGTAAGGTTTGAAGCGTACAGATTTTAGATGGAAAGGTATTGATAAAAGAAGTAGTACGAGTTCGCTCACCCAAAAAATAGCGCAAAACAGAAGGAAACCAGCGCAAAACAGGAGACGCAGTTATTACCACCTCGTGACGGCTCCTGCCACGAAAGAACAACGGTGCCTCTCGTCATGGTTTTATGGTGCTATTTCCGGTATTTTTACAAGGTTATGTAGCGGATTCGGGTCTGGTATAGTTTAGTACCACATGCACTTCTAGTTGGCCTGGCTCAACAATTTTTGCATATGTTAATCCTAACCCCCACCTGTCTACGTCACCGGAAAATTACGTCATTTGGACGTCACAGTGGCGTAATAAAACCCACCAAAGTATGAGGATGGTCTACCAAATCGCGCAGACGATCACCCGAAATCGAGCAAGCTAGTTCTCTCGTTTTTTTGTCACAACGATCACCATAGGAGAGAGATCGTCGGCGTTAGCGAGTTCGTTATCGGCGGCGCAGATGCCATTTCGGGCGATTGTAATAATACTTTGGCAAGCCATATCACGTGACGGTGACGTCCTAGTGACGTAATTTTTGGATGGCATAGTCAGGTGGGGATTAGGAATAACATATGCAAAATTCTGCTGCACCCACTGGAAGTACTTGTGGTACTAAACTATAATAGACCCGCGGATTCTAGGTCATCATTCGAAATTTTATCTACTTTTTTATTATCTAACCCTAAAGCTAAATCAATTAAACTGTATCCATATGGAAAATGTTCTAAATTGCATTACCCAAAATGTGTCACTAGCAGGGAAGACCTGCCATTACAACCTACATGCCTTGGTTTGGGTTTTTAATTTGCTGCCGTGGTACCCCAACTAAAAAAATAAATAAATATGTGCCCCAACTTATTGCAAATTTTTTTTCTGTTTTGCGCTGTTTCCCCCTGTTTTGTGTGCTGTTCTCCTCTGTTTCGCGCTGTATTCAGTAAGTAGTAAGACCGTTTATTTTTGGAATGTCAATGGGCTGTTGCATAGAAAATAATCAAAATACTATTTTAGCAAATGAATCACAAAAGTATGCGAAAAATCAACAATTTGGAAATATCGAAATTCAGTTAAAAATGATGAAATAGTTAGAAGTAGAAGTACTATGCGTTCAATTTTCAAATGTTAACTGATAGAAATTTAAAATTTATTGAAAATAAGTGAAAGAAATGATTTATTATTGTATGAACACATGGATGACCTCATACATAGATCAATCATGATGTGACATTTTTTATGCAACACCAGCTTTGATGAATATATAGGAGGATTCAAATGTCCAAATTTATGCATCATTTTGATTTAATTCATAGATAGATAGTTGTTAAAAAAAATACCAAGACACCCACTTTGTTGTCTGATTTTCTATCTAAATTACCTACCGTAAATCGATCAATTATTGTATATATAAATATATATTATATATATAAATATATATAAAAAGTGTGCACTTATGCAACTTATTTTCGATTGACCATATATTGTATTATATATGATACAAAACTTCGGTGATGGTATAGTTTTATATTTTAATTGTTACATATATTATTTGAACTTGTGGGGAATGTTAACTTGTGCTATCGATTGGGTTTTTACAAGATCAACTACTTTTCCATTTTCTATGCTTTTGTGTCGGTGGATTCGTATGCATATAATGCGAGGATGCTGTAGCGAGAGCAAAGATAACTATTCTGAGTAATTCAATAAATGGTCTTGCTGGACACTAATGTTTTTTTGAAATTATGAAAGTGTTCCGTTTGGCATTGGAATTTATTTGGTGGGAAAAATAAAAGAAGGTGTTGTGTTTGTGGGAAATATTTGAGATATTGAGAATATTGAGTCAAGTGATATATAGTAGATAGAAAATGCCAAAACATCTACTTTGAATGTTTTCTGTCTAATTTTCTAATTTCTATGCAAAAATAACTAATTCGATTAATTAGGGGTGAATATCTATAAAATGTGTGCACGAATACGATGACGTCTCTATGATAATATGGATTAACTCATTTGTCACATATAATATTTGAACATGTGGGAAATGTGTTTGAAATTATAAAACTGTTTAATTTGGAGCAACTTATACTAATTCGACACTAAAATGTCTATACGAAATAGAGGTAAAATTGGGCCAAGAATTCCGACCCGACCCAGGCCTGTGGGTATTAAACCTGACCCAAGCCCGACTAATTGACTAGATTTGCAGGCCCGAAGCAAACCCAAAAGTTCCTATTTTATTTAGCTCATCGAATTGTCATTGCAAGAGTTGACGAGGCAACTTCTGCAAACCACGGTCTCTCGTGGCCAAAACGCCTCATTTAAAAAGAGTCACCGATAGAGAAGCCCGACCCAAACGTAAGGATTGACATTTCAGGCCTGACCAGTCCCGAATTTCGGGTTGGCTCAGGCTTCAGATCTTAGCTTTAACATGAAAATTCAGTTTAACATTGGAATTTATTTGGCGAGAAAAAAAAAAAAAAGTCAAGTTGATTTATTCCAACCAGTAATATATTCAACAGATACAAATGCTAAAAACATGCGAAAGAGTAAAGAATATAATTTTACTGGCAGACTGGGAAGTGAAGTCGCGGGGAGATTTGATGGTGGGCCTGTTATCCAACTAAACTCAATTGAAATTATGATCATCTGTAGTGGGCTGTACATTGGAAGACTGGAGAAAAAAGATGATAGAGAACAGGTTTAGACAGGCTAATGACGGAATGAATTCCATTAAACATTAGTTGTTCAACATGCCCATAATATAGACTATGATACCAGTACTCAAATATGAAATAACAGAATTAGAATGAGACATATACTATCATAAGCTAGCATTTGGATAGGCGCATTATACTGCAATATAATGAATAAATAGATAATAAAACTATGTTGGAGTGTCAGTTCAGGTTTTTGGGCTTCGAAACATCTCGAGAACAAACAAAATTAAACTATTATTATTACATGATACCGGTACTTGCATTTTACACTCCACAAGAGACTTGTATTTTCAGACATATGGACTTGATAGGTGTATTTGATGTTCTTGGTACAGCAACGTTTATCTGTTATGTTGCCAATTCAACAGTTGGTTGAACAAATTTTAAGTTTTTCTGTTTTGCTCAGTTCAAGCGATTCTGGTATATTTAATATGGTCTGGATCATGCAGTTGTACTTAGAGATGAAAACTTTTTTTTGTAATATTAAGGTTTATTTTTGATTGACTGTAATGTCTAATTAATTACTGTATCTTTAAATTAATTATTTTTTTCTATTGTTCAAGGTCTTTTCAATAATATTAGTAGTATCATAAAATTCTTTATAAAATCAAACCAAGGCATTTCAAAAATGGAAGCAAAAATCAATACAGATTCTAAAGAACATGCTGTTGAAATTTTACAACAATTAAATGAATATCGTAAAACTGGACGTCATTGTGATTTCATGATCAAAGCTGGATCTGAGGAACTTCCTGTTCATAAGAATATTGTGTCGGCAAGTTCCGAATATTTTAAAGCAATGTTATCTCATGAAAATGTTGAAACAAAATCTGGTGTCGTTGTAATAAAGGAATTTGATGAAGTTTGTGTTAAAAAATGTGTTGATTTCATTTACACTGGGGATGCTTATGTTGCCAAAGAAAAACGTGAAACACTCATGGGTGTCGCTCACATGATGCAGCTGCAAAGACTTTGTGATAGTATCGCAATTTTTCTGGAAGATGATCTTGATCCTAGATCAGTTTTTCAAACTAAAAAAATTGCGAATAGGTACAACTGTAAACAACTTGAGGAAAAATGCAATCAATTTGCATTGCAACGTTTTATAGAAATTGCCCAGTCTGATGAGTTTATGGATCTTGATGAAAAATTTATTTCATTTCTGATGGAATCGAAGGAAACAAAAGCAAAGGAAGAAGTGAAATGTAAGATGCTGTTAGCATGGACCAAGCATGATATTGATGAAAGAAAAGAATGCTTTCTTAGTTTGGTGATGAAATTTCAGTTGACAAAAATGACTTTGTCATATAGACGATTTCTTGTTGCAAATGAGCCACTGATACTTGAATCTGCAAAATCTCTTCAGTCACTGACTTTGTCGGTTTTTGATAGTCATGGGGATGTCAGTGAAAAAGATGTTAATTTGACAGAGAATAAACAGCTTATTGTTTTTGATCAAACTTCTCAAAGAATGCATTCACATAATGTTGATGATAAAACATGGACACCGATGCAAACCATGGATCAAGCAATTATACAGAATTCAATGCATTCTGCTGTAGTGATGGAATCTTACATTTATGTGATTTGTACAAATGGATCATTTTATAGACTTGAATATGCTGAATCAGATGCAAAGTGGAAACAAATGGCAAATGCAAATCTTCAGAATGCATGTGCAGTTGCAATTGATGGTTTTGTTTATGGTAT